ATAGTAAGATTTGAGAAATCTAGGGAGCTGACATATTCGGTAAATAGTTTGAACTGGTGCACAGCTTTACAAATTACCCAGAATTCACTATGATTTGTACTATTATATATTGATTTTTACTAAACCCTTTTACTGGCTTATCCAAAAGAGTCTGATGTATTTATTTTTCAAAAGTATGTTTTGTAATGTTTGATTGGAATGCCAAATATACCACAAATTCTGGCCAAATTTATAGAGGTGATAAAAATGCCAGAGGAAATATAATGGCCAACATATGTACTCTCCCTCATTAACTGACATCTAATATGTATATATATTTCTTTGTTTCATCCACAACCAGGTGTTGGGGGACTTTCTGAGATACACACACGAATTATATAGCATAGTTATTATAAAACTAGGTTTGGTTTACTGTTGACAAAAAACACTACTACTATATTCAGCGATGTGCAGAAAAAAAGAAGAAAAATTGAAATAAAATGTATGTTTTCAGAATGCATGAATCATACCCGTAGATGGCTGTTTACTGATGACATTTACTAAACTGTTACCAACCAATGCATATTAATACACATCAGATAGGATTGTGGGTAATCGCAGACACGATGCAGTGACCTACTTTTTGTAGCTGCCAACCGTTCACGACATAAAAAAACATTGAAATTATTGAAAACTCGGGCCTTTTATTCTGCTATCATTTTATCACCGAATTCCAGCTTTTTAAACATGAACATCACAGACAACCCAGTTACTTCTGTTCTCCTACGGTTTTTAGTAACCGTGGTTCTAATGGCAGGAATTACCACATTACTCGCACATATGCTCACATTGTGTACAGCAGAAAGATGGCGGCCAGTACAAGGCATACCCGGACCACGGGGGTGGCCTATAGTTGGATCGCTCTTTTCGCTTGGTAAGTTTCCTCATTTAAAACTAATGGAAATGGCACGTATTTATGGCAACGTGTATCAACTTCGTCTTGGTAATCAATACGTCGTTGTCGTGAATGGAATACGAGCGATAAAGGAATCCTTACTGAAAAAATCGGTGCATTTTGCTGGACGGCCTGCATTTCCATCGATGACTTTTACAAAGAAGTATGTAGGGGTTGTGTTTGACTCGTATAATGAGAATTGGAAGAGTCAGCGTGTGATAATCGATTCGTCGCTCAAGAAATTTACAAGTGGGCCAACTGCACTGGAAGACGTAGTTACATCAGCGGCAATGAATGTTGTGAACAGCTTGACCAATCATGGAATCGCAAAATTTGATGCCTATGATGATATTTACGTTGCTGTGGGCAACGTAACCTGCTTCGTCCTATTCGGAAAACGCTACAGTCACAATGACAATAATTTCAAAAAGGTCCTGTACCTTAGTAAGCAGTTTGATACCGCGATCACGGGAAAGGGAAACATCATCGACTATCTACCATGGATGACATTTGCAATGAGAAATGTGTTTGCGAAACTTGGAAATGACTTCGACGAGTTTAACAGGTTCATAGATGAGCAGATGAACTCGCATGTAAGTAGCAATTATAAAGCAAGAAGTGTGGTGGATAGCATGATTAGAATACGCAACGATGCGGGAAAGACTAAAGGCTGCCCGCTAAAAACAAAAACTGATATTAAGCGGATGCTGTGTTGTTTATTTGGGGCTGGCTATGAAAACACCACTAATACAATATACTACTTGGTGCTCTACATGATCATACATCCGGAAATTCAGTGCAAAGTACACGAAGAAATTGACAGAGTAGTAACCAGAGATCGACTACCGACACTTTCTGATCGAGCAAAATTGCCATATACAGATGCCGTCGTACAGGAAGTTATCCGTCATGCGTCGCTTTTCCCGTTGTCGATACCATATTCGACCTTGAACGACACGGATATTCTTGGGTACACAATCCCGAAAGAGACGCCTATATTCGTGAACCTGTGGTCTGTAAACTACGACGAAAGCGAGTGGAAAGACCCACATCGATTCAACCCTGATCGATTTCTTTCTGACGACGGCTTGTCAGTGAAGAAATCACAGGTCGCTAAGATTGTTGCTTTTGGTTTAGGGAAAAGCGATGCTCAGGTCAGCAGCTGG